TCGTATCGGAAAGTGGAGGAGCCAGGATCGAACCCAGGGCCTTGAGGGGTCCGGGAGCGCCCATCTTCACTCACGGACAGGTGACCTACATGCCAGCAGGGGGCGCTTACTCATGAGCAGGAGTCCGGACTTGGCATGACTCAGGTGTTAGTCATGAGGACACCATGTGACAGGTCAGGAGACAGGACACGAGTCAGCAGACTCTGACCAAGCAGGGACAAATAGGTACCTGGTCTGTGCACCGTTGTAATTGTATAAATAGTAGGGGGTCTGAGGCAGGGAACCTCAGACTTGATCTTCTCGTCGATCCCCCATCTCCTCTGTAGGTAGCTAGCAGCCCTACCTTCTATTGCCCCTTCTAGTCTAGGGAATCTACCTCTTCACATCATCTCTTGCTGTGTCACCTGGAGTTGCTTCGCCCCTCAGCACCAACCCCATCACCAGTAAGCTTGTCTTTGTTTATCTGGTGGCACAGCTCGTTGGCTGTGACAGTCGAGCGGGACAGTCCAAAGCGGCCTGCTTTGACATGGTATCGGGGGAGGATTTTGGACGTGACAAAAGCCTTGAGCCCATTGGGCATCTCATCAGACTCGAGAACATGACGATATTCGCGGGACTCCTCGGGACTGAGCTCGTTGTTCAGCAGTTTTTTGAGCTTCACGGGGTTCTGGCTCCATTTTTCGGAGCGTAGGTAGGCGCGCACCGTGGGGTGACTGAGAACCGACATGACCTTCGGGTGACGCCCGCGCTGCGACTCTGGCAGCGTCCTCGTCCTCACCCACGCCTGGGTCCACCCGCGGACAAGTCGCGCCCCCCACTTGCCGGAGAAGAGGCTGGCTCGCGCTGCCACCTCGGACGCCGCCATCATCCCCTGCCCTTCTCGGACCATGAGATGCAAGCAGGCCTGGATCGCCCGCGCCCGGTAGGCCTGCAAGCCGTTGGCCCCACCCACAAGGAGGGCCTTCTGGGAGCTCAAAACCCTCTTCAGGTCGATGAGGGCTTTCTGACGGGCCTCTTGAGCCGCGTCTCGGGCCTTCTGTCGCGCTACACGTACAGGTACGTCGTGTGTCTTCCATGGGAGTGCTGGGTTGGATAGTGGGGGCGGGGGCTGGGGACGGGCTGGGGCTGGGGATGGGGTGGGATGGGGTGGAGTTTCAGGAGCCGGACGAGGAGACGCGACAGAAGGAGGGCCGATGGAGAGGAATTGTTACAAACGCCCTGTGGGGGCGTCTCTTCTTTCCTTTCTCCTCGTATCCTCTCTACCATGCATTCCCTCTTCTTACGGCACAACCCGGACACTTGTACCTACCATGGTTCCAACACCATGCTTCATATCCCCATTGTTCTCATCGCTATTGTTCTTTTCGCCATTGTACTACGTGGTCACAACACCACGTGACTCCTTTGTCCCCATTCGCTATTGTTCTCCGATTAGTCAGCGACCATGTACTTTAGTATATAAGGACAGGTCTTGCACTGGGCACCCCAGTTTGACCTCTTGTACCAATCAAGCGTTCTCACTCCCTAGACCCCTAGTGACCTCGAACCCCCAGACCCCCAGTGAACCAGTGTGCTAAGCTTGTCATCAGTCTGCGTCCTCGTTGTGCATAACCTGCACACGACCCCTTGAGTGCTGACACGCTTCGCTGTAACATTAGGTCAAACTCTTCTTTACGCCGGCTTCTCTAAGCCTAGGCATACC